ACAATTTAAGTCCAAAAGTAAAATATGTAAACCTAGGTAACAATTATAATAAAAATAGCTAAGGCTTAAGGGTTTACTCTATGCTGAGTACTTTATGTGCTTGATCTCATTTAATACTCATAATATCCTATAAGTATTATTATTGCCATTTTACTAATAAGGAAACAGACTTAGAATGGACAAATACCTTGGTCATGTTCTCACAGCTAGTAAGTAGTAAAGCCAGACTTTAGACCCAGTCCTGCCTGAGTCCAGCTGCTGTTCTCAATCACTCCCTTCATCAGACCTCATCCTTTCAATGAGCTAAAGATCCACAGTGGCCATGGCCTCTGGTACACAGCGTCCTATGACACGGGCCTGTCACCTGGTCTCAGAACTAGAGAAAGTCTGACTCCTGTTACTTTCTATTGTATTTTCCTTCTCATGTTAAGGTAAAAACCAGAGTCTGTTTTGATTTCTTTTTACAAAATTCCCCCGTATGTTTCTGGCTTGTGGCTGAGAAGAACACAGGTGTTAGTGTCACATACAGGCTCTAAATTGGGGAAAAGGAAACCATCTAGCAGCCCTACTAGGGATTCCAATAGTGGTTTGCACCAAATAGCTGTGCAGGTGATAATTCTTCTGTGGGTTCTGATTTCTAAGCTCTATCTAACAGTCACTCTGCTTTCTTGGTTCCCGCAATTACCCAACGCTACCCTGCATGGCTGATAAGACACAGTTCTGCCCCTTATCCCATGGGTCCCACTCAAACTAGAGCTAACTTTCTTGGAAGCCAACCTTATCCTATATAGGCAGACTTTGTTTAGTATCCTCTCTAGTTCCACATCATCTGGCTTAAGAAATGCCTTGAGTTTTCCTCTAGTTTGTTAATATATCCAGTCAATACATTTATCAAAGCCCTACCTATTTAAGAAACTGTTCTAGGCTCTGCTGTTTATATACAAATGAAGAAGAAATGGTCTCTGCCTCCACAATGCTAAGAGATGAGATGCTCTGAAACAGTCAAATGGTAAGTGATAAGAACCGTTAGGGATATATGGATAACATGCCCAGGGAGGGCCAATGAGGGAGATGTTGCATCTGTCTGGGAAAGGCTTCATGGGAGAGAGGCACTCAGCTTAGCCTTAAAAATCGAATAAACTTTGAGTTTGAGGAAAAGAAGAGCCTCTTAGGCAATGACACAACATGACTGAAGGCGCAGAGGCATAAGGCAGGTCCTATATTAAAAAACAGAGTAGCTCAGTCTTGCCGATGCTTGGAATCGGTGAAGAGTTCTCGGGCCCTGCCCTCAGAGGCTTTCAAAGTGCTGAAGGAAGAGGGCAGAAGTACACACATGAAGGAAAAGGCCGGAACCCTGGGGACCAGAGACATGTTTAGTTTGGCCAAGATGCCGTGGAAATATTTCAGCCAATTTTAAAAATCAGTTCACATCAAAATCCATATTTCTGGTTTCTCCTGAACCTTTGAAAGATCTGGCGCCACAGTGTGCATTTTTTCAGGATGGCAGTTGGCTGGAACTGTAGAAAGGCTGCCTCCTTCCAGTAGGGTGTGAGTTCTGTCTGCCCTAACACAGAGCCCAGGCTGGATTCTCCCTTCGCCCTACCTGCCCAGCCCCGCAGGCACCTAAGTGGCAGGCTCCAGGTGCAAGCCTAGCCAAACCAAATGAGGAGACGTGAACGACAGACCCCAAGGGCCTCTCTGCCTGCTCACTGATTCCCACATTGCTTGGTTTTCAGGGTTCACTAGCCTCTTCTTTAAAATTTCAGCATGCACAGCTCTCAAAATTATAAGATGTGGATGTATTTAAGGCGTTTCTGAAAACATCTCATGCTGCCCAGGATCTGAGGCTCAAAATGATGTAAATCAAACACATCAAAGTGTGGGGCGGGGCGGTTCATGTCTGTTTGCTTGTTGTTATGCAAGCCGATTCATTAGAGACCTAACATAACCCTGTCTCTGGACTTTTGATCCTATCCTGCCAAGGCCTAGCCTTGTAGATTCATTAAAGGAACTCTTCCTGTTCTAAGGGTCTACAGTCGGCCCTTCTTCTCTGCCTCATAGCTCTTCTCAAGGTGTTTGCCTTCAGACTTCTCCATTAGTTGACAAGAATGATACTAACATCTAAAGTTGGATTCCTCGCTGGGTCAGAACACCCACGTTTGGAAAAGGCAGCTCCTCTTCCAGAGTAATCAGGAAAGTATTTGCAGGAGCCCCAGGAATAGAGCTCCAGGAATCCTACAATGTGGCCCGCTTTGTGGCAACACTAATGAACTAAGAGGTCAGTTTGGTCATTTCTAAGGCTAAGCCCTTGTAACGATAAATAAATATACAGAATGTAAAGGAATACAGAAAAGAAAAACAAACGAAGGAGTAAAGGAAATGAGAAACCTAACTTGATTTCATTGAGAAAATAAGTTTTGAAATGCCCTTTGTGGAGCAATTCCATCAATTCCTTGCCGTGCAATTGCCCAGGAGAATTCTTCCAGAACTTATGTTCTGTCAGCTAGACCTTGGTGTTCCTCGCAGGCCGCGGTTCAGTAATTCTGGAATAGTAGAAAGGTTTTTGTGTACTCTATCAAGCAGGAAGAAAAGGCCTGATGTACCACAAAACTGGATACTTTCTAAGGTACAGAACACTCAGCACTTTCCTCCAAGGAGAGAACACACAATTGGCATGAAAATGACCCAGGCAATGGATTGAGGAGGAGCGTATCCAAAAGTAGATTTCCAGCTCCACGTTCTTTCCGGCATCACAAAGTGGATTGTTGTATGCCCTGATGTGTCTGACCAGATGCAAAACGCTGGTCTCATCTACATGCCATTTGTGAACCAAAGTGAATTAGATGGTAACATCGGGAATCCTGGAATTGGGGGAGGTTGTATGTTGTTGGCTTTTCCCCCTTGTGGTTTTCACCATCTGCTCCTTTTAATGCATAAACAAGGAAAATGACTGGTTTGGAATGCAAAGTTTTTAAAAACCAGATGACCACAGGCATCCTCTAAATGAGAAAGAAAGAACAAGTTGGGGTTCTGTGACATTTGTCAGGAAGTGAGATGTTAAATACCGGGAAGCATTAACGCTCTCTGCCAGGGAAGAGCCACAAGGAAAAGGCCTTGTCCGTGACCCCGACTTCCTGAGGTCATACCATATGTTTACATTTCACCAAGGGTGATTTTCAGATACCAACAGCACCCAGCCTTCCTTCCTTTTTAAACTAAAGATGAAGCCATTCAGCTGGTCTTTAGCATAACCAGCCTTGGTTTTCCATTAACATTATTGCTAACTTGGCAACCGTGGACAGAATCCACTCTTAGAAACTTTTAGAATGAACAAAAGCTGCGTTGTGAGCAGGTTCTATTATAAAGCCAAAATAGAGAGCTATAAATAGAAGAGCTGATGAGATAGACTAAGAGAAGGTAATTCATTTATCTCCTGGATAATGGTAAAAAAAAAAAAAGAAAAGAAAAAATTATATAAGGGCATTAGGAACACAGAGTGTATTTCTTGAGCAAAGGGCATCCTGCTTTAAAAAAAAAAAAGTTTGCCAGGCACAATACAGTGGCCACTCATTAAAATGGTTCTGTATGCTCTGTGCCAACAAATCTTAAAGCAACAGATTCCTTTTTTAAACTGGAGGCAGTGGAGAGATTTGATGGGGTGGTGGCTGCATACTAATCTCTTTTATCTTTTTTGTAAGAAACAATCAGCCACAAGCACCAGGGATGTAAAATCAACTTGAACTTGGGCATTTTAAAGCCCCCAGAGAGAAGGACATTGATGCATTTGGCAGAGTTCCACCCATTTCAGCATAAGACATGAACATTTTTCACATAGTTTTGTAGGCAGCCTGACACCAGACTTTTTCAGTAGAGAAAGGATAAAAGATGACAGTCCCTTAGGGAACAATCAACTCTTCCAAATTTGCAAGATCTGTTCTCAAAAATGTCATGGGCAATACTGAGGTGGGTATTGTTAGTCATTCAGGGAGAGGGCTTAGGCAGAAACAAGACCCTGGTAATTTAGAAGCCCTTGAAGGATTAAATATATTTCAAAATGAGTTTAAGTTCAAATAATTTCTCTACTCGTGCTTAAGACACCATGGAGTATGTAGATGGGGAAACATGAGCTTGTCAGGGGCGAACTGTTTCATTGACATTGGTTCCAGATGCCAGAGTTGTGATGAGTGTATTTGACTTCTGACATCCCTTGGATGTGGGTACTGTCTGGAATGTTTGCTTCCCTGGTGGAAATGAGAAAATGATTAGAGACCTGAACTCCGCTCCTAGTGGCTCCCTGACTCGGTGTTTTATTTGTTTCCTAAGTTAAATTGAAAGCTCCTGGAGGCTTCTAAGGGCAGCCCTGTGTGAGCATTAGCTTCATAAAAGTACTCTAGTGACCTATGGAATTTTAGTTATCATCATAATAATGTTAGATGAAGAGGCGTCCTGGAGAAGGTATGAGAGGAATTTTAAGTGGCTGAACAATATTTGCGCATTCATTCTACAAATAGTTTCAGAGCCTTATTATTTTTTCTTTTCATTATGCTGTTCTTTTGATGTTCCAAGGGATGATCTAGGACATTCATAATTTAAAAGTGATTCTCCCTTAAAATACATTTTGGGAATTAAGACTTTATCTGTCTAGCTTTTAGATGCTTTTGTTTCCATAAGGAAGGGGGATAGAGATATTTCAAGGACTTCTTCACTGGGATTCAAGAGGCATTTAAAAGTTTACTGACCTGGTGACCTGGTGTCCTCTTATCTCCTTCCTCTTCTCCCTTCCTTATTTCTTTGGGTCTCTTTCTTTCTCTCTCTTTCTCTTTCTTTCTTTCTTTCTTTCTTTCTTTCTTTCTTTCTTTCTTTCTTTCTTTCTTTTCTTTTCTTTTCTTTTTTTCTTTTAATGGGGGAGAGATGAGGGAGGCGTGTCTGATGAGGAGGCTAGGAGGTTCACTCAGGACTTAGGCTTGGAATTTGACCCCTCTGTGTCTTCTTGCCCACAGGTGATAACCCCAGTGAGGACAGGCCATGGCTATGTGTACGAGCACCCATCCAGATACCAAAAGGACATCTACGATACCCCTCCTTCCCATACCACCCACGGGGTACGTACCCGGACCATAGTCACCAGGGGATAGGAACGCTTCGTTCCTATCCTTCAGGCGTTCCTTCAGGGCTACAGAGGAAAGGAAAATTACAAATTATGTATATTTCATATAAAGTTTGATTTAGGTTGTCTATCCAAGAGCCATTTTAGCCAACGTTATTTAAATTATGTTTTCTGGATTTTCTTTATCAGGAAATCCTAGGCTTTCATCTGACAAAGCTTTTGTTGTTCATCACTTAATCATTTTATTTCAGGAAGTATGTAATTTCAACTACAGTTTAAAGTACAGACATATAGATATTTCACTTAAGATCATTTTTATAGTCAATCTAAGTCAAAGAATATGAAATTTAAAAAGAAAAATTTCATCAGCTCCATATTACATAGAATGCTGTCAAAAAGTAAGGGTATATACATAAGCTGGTAAATAAATACATAATTAAAAGCCTAGTAGCATAAAAAAATGACAAATATAAGACATTTCTATTCCGGGTAACTCAGGTGTCTCTCTTCAGGTATATGACATCCCCCCATCATCGGTGAAAGGCCCTATGTTTTCAGTTCCAGTGGGAGAAATAAAACCTCAAGGGGTCTATGATATCCCTCCTACTAAAGGGGTAAGTGAGCTCCTACACAAAAGCAAAAAAGGTGTTTCTGTGTGTGTGTGTGTGTGTGTGTGTGTGCTGGGATAAAACAGGAAGGGCAAACCAAAGGGGAAAAACTAGTTTTCATGAGAGAGTAAAGGAATGGGAGGGAAGGCGAGAGGGAGGAAGGAAAGGCAATAATTAAAGATAACTCTAGGGATGCCATATTTGGGGGGCCCCACTTAAAAAAAATGAGGTAGTCAATAAGGAGAGCCAATAAGAAGGCAAAATCATTCATTTAGTTTGGCAAGCAACTGATATATCTCATATATATAAGGTGTTACAGCTTAGTCCATATATATGGGTTAATGCATTTGATTTGCTCTGTTACTCTCAAGGGGAGGCCTGCACAAGAAGTGTGCAGTTATCCTTATTTTATAGATAACAGAAGTGTGTCTTAGAATGTTTAAGTGACTTATTCAGCATTACACAGCTGGTAGATCCAGGGAGAGAACTCAGGTCTTCTGACATTTAGTCTGTTGTGTTCATGTAAAATCTGCCTCTCAGCCTGGATCCGAGGAGGTCAAATACCCAGGAGGTGGTCAGAATCGTGGGGCTGCGACCCAGGGAGAGCAACTCAGTCAACAGGCAGCTTTGAGGCCAGAGGAAGGATGAGCTTATCAAAGGATGAAGGGAGTAGGAACAGAGCAGAGCCTTGGAAATACCTTCCATTAGTGGGTGCGGGTAAAAGAAGAGGTGCCAGCCAGCAAGACTGAGAATCCAGCCTTCATTTTAATGTACTGTTGTTTCCTCATCTTCATAGGAGCCAACTGAACAAATACTAGCTTCTGTTTGTATTTACTTTTCAGATATATTCCATTCCACCCTCTGCTTGCCAAGATGAAGCAGGGCTCAGGGAAAAGGAGTATGACTTCCCCCCTCCAATGAGACAAGCTGGAAGGCCAGACATCAGACCCAATGGCGTGTATGACATTCCCCCAGCCAGCACCAAGCCCGTGGGGAAGGATCCTCACATGAAATACAACTGTGATGCTCCAGGAGCTGCTGAACTGGCGACACGAAGACATCAAAGCATTTCCCTGAAATACCCACCCCCACCGCTGGGACCATCAGTGAGCCCTCAGAATGATGCCTACGATGTCCCACGAGGGGTTCAGTTTCTGGAACCACCAGCAGAAAGCAGTGAGAAAGCAAACCCTGAAGAAAGAGACGGTGTTTACGACGTCCCTCTGCACAACCCAGTAGACGCCAAAGGCTCTCAGGATGTGGTAGATGGGATTAACCGATTATCTTTCTCCAGCACAGGCAGCACCAGGAGTAACATGTCCACATCTTCCACCACCTCAAAGGAATCTTCACTCTCAACTTCCCCATCTCAGGACAAAAGACTCTTACTGGATCCGGACACAGCCATCGAGAGACTGCATCGGCTCCAGCAGACCCTGGAGATAGGCGTCTCCAGCCTAATGGCACTGGTCACCACAGACTGGCGATGTTATGGATACATGGAACGACACATCAATGAGATACGCACCGCGGTGGATAAGGTGGAGCTGTTCCTGAGAGACTACCTCCATTTTGCCAAGGGCGCCGTCGCAAATGCTTCCTGCCTCCCAGAACTCACTCTCCACAACAAAATGAAGCGGGAACTCCAAAGAGTAGAAGACTCCCACCAGATTCTGAGCCAAACCAGCCATGACTTAAATGAATGCAGCTGGTCCCTGAATATCCTGGCCATCAACAAGCCCCAAAACAAGTGTGATGATCTGGATCGGTTTGTGATGGTGGCAAAGACGGTGCCCGATGATGCAAAACAGCTCACCACAACCATCAACACCAATGCAGAGACCCTCTTCAGACCAGGCCCCAGCAGCTTGCATGTGAAGAATGGACCCGAGAGCATCATGAACTCCACTGAGTACCCACATGCTGGATCCCAGATGCAGTTGTTGCATCCTGGGGACCACAAGGTCCAGGCCCTCAACAAGCCATTGCCCCCAAGCCTGGGCAAGGACCAGCCCCCTGACTGTAGCAGCAGCGATGGCTCTGAAAGGAGCTGGATGGATGATTATGACTATGTTCACCTACAGGTAAAGAAACCAAACTCATAAAGCACCTACATTCACATTCAGGGAGACCAGGACTAAGACCCGTAAAGCTGGTAGGCTGGACTACCAGAGGAGAGGACATAATTAATGGTAATCCAAGTGGTTCACTAAGTGGAGGCAATGTACAGGAGAAAGACCACTGGCCTGAGAGTCCAGAGTCCTCGGCCTTGAGTCCTTTCTCTGATACTAATTGTGTGACCAGCTTAAGTAACCGCCCTGGGCCTTAATTTCCTCATTTGCCAAATGAATGGAGCACAGGGTTGTAGTAGATCACACTGATAAGCCTCAGGCAAGCAGGAAGGGACTCCCCAAGTAGCGCAGTGGGCCCTTGGGTAATCATACCAGCTCCACTTCTATTCGCGTTTTATGATATAGTTCCACAATATTTTATTGAGAAAGTGGCGAGGGGGAGTTTCACTGTTAGGAGAAAAAATTTGAAAGCCTCTGCACCAGAGAATTTCTAAGGTCCCATCAGCGCTAGTGTGTGTGTGTATGTGTGTGTGTGTGTGTGTGTGTGTGTGTGTGTGTGTGTGTGTGTGTGTGATTACTTACAGAAAACTTAACCTCTGACTTAACCTTGAAGGCCACAGGGCATTTGCCAATTGACCTAGAATTTAACCTGCATATGGGAAATTGGCAGTCATAGTCTGCCTCCTACAGGTTGACCTGAAATCCTGACAGCTTGCCCTTTCATTTTGGGGCACACAACAACATTCTACCAAGATCCATTATTTAGAATTTCACACTATCTTATACTTCCATTCTTTTCATTTGACTAAGAGCCACAGATTATCCTAAAAACTATTTAACTAAAATTTCCTTGAAAGCAAGAGACTGGGGAAGGAAGCACTGAGCCACACTATGGGGAGAGAGTCAATGGAGGCATTAAACAGTCACCTGACTGGTTGTCCAACTCTGCATATTGGGAAATACTACTATGATGTAGAGCTATAGAAGAAAGAAGAAACTAGAAGTGCAATGTGGACCACATTTAGACGTGAGTTAGGAGGTGTATGGGTTTGCATATAATCCATTAAAAAAGAACTGTGAGAAACAGTACTGGTTAAGGAGGTTTGAAGGGGATCATGGATAGCTCTCCAAAAACGGTGAAGTGGAGCACAGAGTATGGCACCCACCATGGAAAGGGGTTTTAGTTTGCAGCCCTAACCTACGCAGTGACTCTGAGTCTGGCCAAGAAGCAGGCCATCGCTGTCTGGGAGTCAGAGGGCCTAATTGGGCATGCGGGAAATTGCAACTGCAGTGGAAAATGAAAGCGTATTTACACATTTGTCAATGAAATTGTTAGCATAAGTGAATCACAGCGGTGATGTAATGTTTTCTTTATGTTGAAAAATAATAGGGTAAAGAGGAGTTTGAGAGGCAACAGAAAGAGCTGTTGGAAAAAGAAAATATCATCAAACAGAACAAGATGCAGCTGGAACATCATCAGGTAAGTTCAATCAGAACAAAAACCACCTGGTATTGAAAAGATTTCCTGCTTTATAAGAAAGGTATAACTTCAAAAGATCATGATTTTGATCCTTCCAGCACACTTTGGTATAAATAAGCTCCAAGGCATATAATAGAGTGTAAGAACAAAGAGAAGGTTTATGGTTTTAGTAATCCAGCTGGTGTACCTGGATTACATCCAAACAGCAATTTTTTCTGGGCTAAGCCTGTACATCTAACACATTAAAACTATTTGGGTTCAGGCTGTTGATCTCCACGAGCAAGACCCACCCAAGCTAGCCCAAGCAAACAGGTTATATAGTAATACTATAGGTGGGAAATTCTAGAACAGAAAATGAAGGTATAGCGAAGTCCAATGAGAACTAGGACTACAAATTCTTTCTCCTTCTTGTACCTCCTTTGTTTCTCTCTAAATCTGTTTCCTTCTCCTCTATTTTATGGTAGTTTCCTCTGCTTATCTACTCATTTGGGACTGCTATAACTTTATGAACTCATTAATAACTATTTAAAGCCCTTTCTATAGACAGCTTTTCATTTCAGCCTCTTCAGCGCATAGTCAATTCCTTCTGTGTTTCATCGAATTCCTAAAAAATTCCTAGCTACCTACCTATCTATCTCTCCTCTACAACATAAGCCTATGGCTCAGCTGTTCTTGGTCCAACATAAAGGGGGGAGGGTAGGATCCAATGTTTTCAAAATATATCCAAGTCTATTCACTAAGGGCATTGGGCAGGGCAGATTCATTTAAATGTTGAGCTTGGCTGGGGCAGATAATGATGGGTATTGCTAGGACAATGGCAGAAAAATAAAGAGAAATGAATTGAGGATTTATAAGCCTTTTTTTTTAGATGAAATAAAATGGCATGGAGGGACATGAAATGGCACACTACCCTCAGGAAACCAGAGTTCTACTCCATACTTTCTAACCAACCGTGTGTCCTTACGCAAGTCACTTAACCTCCCTAAACTTCAGTTAATTCTCTATAAAATGAGAAAATCCCTCAACCCTCTATCTAATGAGATGATATATTTATAAACACATTTGCAAAAGCATAAGCTAAATATCTTGAACCATCACCCTGTCTCTGTTTATGTTTGCTTTAGCATTTGACCAAGCAAAACCGCAGGGCTTTCGGTAACTTATTGAAACCATAGTAAGTCCTAAGAAAAAAACAGATTCTCCAGAAAAATAAAGCTCACTGTGCATTTCTTGGGGAAGACCCTGGGTAAGGTTATCCCTGCTATGACTCAGCCCTACCTCAATATGGAAGATTGAGCCCTAAACTTAGGTCACAGATAGTCCTTACCTGCAAAAGAGAGTCTCTCTGGAGACTAGGTGGAATAGTTGAAAGTTATTATTATCATTTAATGTAAGGTGAGGAGAGAAGGAAAAAAGCTAACATTCATTGAGTCTGACTCTGTGATGTCCTTTTCTTTCAACAACTCTGTGGAGCTGTTATGCACGATTAGCATTCACACTTCCTTAGAGATGTTCTTTTTGTATACATATATTTATATGCAGTAGTCTTCCCTGTAGTCCTGAATAATAACTTACAAATCCAGACAGAAAGAGTAAGAGAAATACAAAAGGGTCATGGATTGTCATTAAACTAAACATCTTAAAGGGATAGAGTCAAGGTTTTCCTCCAGAAGGAGCAAATTGTCAGTACAGCAAAACTTTGGATTGCGAGTAACTTGGTTTGTGAGTGTTCCACAAGATGAGCAAACATTTCTAATACATTATTAACATGGTAAACAAGCAATGTCTTGCAATACGAGTAGTTTGTTTTCGGAACGAATTATGCTCGCAAACCAAGGTATTACTGTAATTTACTTGACAAAAAGATCCTTACATTTGGTTTTCCCTTGCCACCACTCAACATTGAATACACATTTACATGGAACCTACAATATGCCAAACACCATTCTAAGCACTTTGTAAACATTAACTCATTTAACCTTCATAATGGTGCAGGAAACTGAGCTGGGTTTAAACTCTATGTTGCCTTCCAGCCTGAGGGCAGAGGAAGCCAATCTTCTAATGATAGAAAGTCAGCTGGAGGATTTCTTAGGCATCATCTTTCTAACCTCTACATTTTACAATTTAGGAAAACAAGACTACATGACAAAGGCCTCACATCTAAAAAGCACCAGACACTTATTAGGGATTAAAATCCCTGTCTTTTAACTCCAAGCCCTGTTTAATTTCCATTACAGCACGCTGCCTTACCCTTAATAAAATGTGCTTTTCTTCCTTGCAGCTAAGTCAGTTCCAGTTGTTGGAACAAGAAATTACAAAGCCGGTGGAGAACGACATCTCAAAGTGGAAGCCCTCGCAGAACCTGCCAACCGCAAACAGCAGTGTGGGTGCTCAGGATAGGCAGCTGCTTTGCTTCTACTATGACCAGTGTGAGACCCATTTCATTTCCCTTCTCAATGCCATTGACGCTCTCTTCAGTTGCGTCAGCTCAGCCCAGCCCCCGCGGATGTTTGTGGCCCACAGCAAATTTGTCATTCTAAGCGCACACAAACTGGTATTCATTGGAGACACGCTGACAAGGCAGGTTGCTGCCCAGGACATTTGCAACAAGGTGATGAACTCTAGCAACCAGCTCTGTGAACAGCTAAAGACTATAGTTATGGCAACTAAGATGGCTGCCCTCCATTACCCCAGCACGACTGCCTTACAAGAAATGGTACACCAAGTGACAGACCTGTCCAAAAACGCGCAGTTATTCAAGCGCTCTTTGCTAGAGATGGCAACGTTCTGAGGAGGAAAAGGGGACTGAGTGGAAAACTGGAAATGCTATCTGGTTTTTGTAAATGTATCTATTTTTGTAGATATTTTATATGAAAATGAAATATTTTAACATTTATGGGTTAGACAACATTCAGAAATTCAGGGAGCTAGAGGGAATTTTGTTTGTTTGTTTTCCTGTGTGGTCCTTATGTATACACATAAGCATCTAAGACATAAACTATACAGAAACTTGTCCACATGCGTGTGTGCTTATATATTCATGTTTGTTTGTTGATGTTTGTTTGATACATTCCATTAAAAAACATGAATTAAGAAGCACCTTAGTAAGCATCTCCTAATGCTGCCTTTTGTTGTTGTTGTTGTTGGAAGAATACATACCAGCTGGTTGTATTATTGCTCTACATATATTAGTGATTTATTCTGAGTCTGTCACTTCCATGTCTGGGAAGCATTGTATATTTGCAAATGTTCATCTCCCAAAAAAATGAGGCATGGTATGGCTTGTCCTTGTTCAGGAACCCCTTTCAAAATTGACTGTTTTGGGCACAGTATGGCAAAATATATCACTTCTGGTTAAGAAAACCCTCTCAGAGAAAAAGTTTCAGAAAGTATATGCTAATCCAAGCTCTGATACTTTAGGTGCTGGAGAGAGAAGAGACAGACACATGTGTTTAGAAGCCATGTCCCCAGCCAAGATTGGGTTCTTTCAATACCGAGAGGACATAGTAATAAAAGGAGAGCATGTGTTTCCCAGGGTTATTTTGTGGTCTGTATTTTTGAGTGATTTGGCCATGAGTTTTCCCAAATGATGTCTTTAGGCTTGCAAAAACCATGTTATTTGCAGCAGGAATTCATAAAGACACATCAGACTATAATTATGCACACAAAGAAGGATGATTCCACCTACTGGTTATATGTAGAGGCCTTTCTGACTCTCAGCATTCACTTAGGTGCTACTACCCGCTTTGCCTGAGGGGAACTGGCCAGTTCCATGGTCACCTGAATTTTCAAGCCAGCAGATCTTTCACCCTCTTTAAAACATGCATAGGCAGACCTGACACTTAGAGTAGCTCTACGGAGCCCATCTAATCTTTACAACTCTGCCTGGCTGACAACCCTGTGTATTCAGCCGGACCATCATCTCACCACTCATCACAACATCGGTTTCGTAGCCTGTGCCCTCGCACCTGGTGGTACTAGCAAAGCGCAGACACATCATAAGCCATCAGCTTCATTATAGGGCAAACAAAACACTTCCTACCTGGTGAGAAAATGTATTCACATATTACCAAGTCACAAAGCATGTTATCGATGGTCTTTCAGTCCAGTCTCCTTTAACGGTTTTATTCCAGCCTATTTGAAAATGTTTTTATTTGCAATTTATACTTTGACTGAGTTCAGCTTGCTTATTTTAAACAAATTAAATCACTGGAACAGAAAAAGATTTAAAGATAAGAATGCTCAATCTCAGTATGAAAAAAAATAATAATAAATCAGTGAAAGTCATAGAAGGTGCTTTTTAAAGCAACTGCTATTGTAGTTCTCAAAGTCTTGCTCTGCCAGAAGATTAAAATTGTTATATGACAAGTAAATGTGTGGGGGATGAAGGGGATTGCTGAAAATCAACAGCACTTGAAGAAGTTTAAAAGTGTGTCCTTGTAGATTTCATTGTAAATGTGTATTTCTTAGGAGATGACAGACTTGTTCTAAGCTAAGTGATAACATTTCATGTTTTCAAGACGAAAATGTTCAGTCTGTATTACTCTCTTTGCCATCTTGTATGTAGAGATTATTTTAAATCATTAAATTTTTTAGATCTATGGTTTCATAGCCACTGGGTTTTCTTTTCTATATTTCTCTCTTTACCACAGAATTAAATGTAGTTATTTGGGCACTCCTAATATAGTAAGTCATTTTATCAATACTATAGATCTGGATTTTTTAGGAAAATTGAGAGTTGTTTAATTTTTCATTTTGTGTCACTTCAGAGTGTATTTGCATTTGAAGAAAATCCTGGAATCTGTGAATGTTACCAAATCCAAATATCTGGAACAAGGCTTCTCTTTACCAGAAGGCCTGTACATTTAAGTGATGGCTAGGATGATTTCTGCTATAATATGGATGCTACCATTTATGTGGTTTTAGAATCAAAGGGAATTGTTCCATTCATTCTGGACTAGACATAATTAAATAATTAAAAAACAACTATATTTGATGAAAATAAGAGATTCATAATCACATAAATTATTTTTAATGCTTGGCCTGCTCTTTCACTCAGGTGTCCTACTGAGATTTATAGATAAAGTATTTGAATATACCTTGTGTCAGTTGCCCACATCTATAAACGTTAATTGATTTTCAACGAAAGTGTCAAGTCATTTCAATGGAGAACGGAAAGTTTTTTGAAAACATGATGCTGGAACAGCTAGATCTCTCCATGAAAAACAATGAATATTTATTTACCTTACATCCTACACAAAAATGAACTCAAATGAATAAAAAACCTAAATGCAAAACTTAAGACTCTAATACTTCTAAAAGAAAATAAAGGAGAAAAATCTTTGTCATCTAGGTAGACAAAGATTCCATAGATACAACACAACAAATCATAAGAGACAAAAATCGATAAATTAGACTTCATCAAAATTAAACGCTTTTACTCTTCTAAGGAGATCATTAAGAAAACAAAAAGTCACAGACAGGGAGAAAATATTTCCACTATGTACAGCTCTCAAGGGTCTGTATCAGAATAAGATGACAACTAAATTTTTTTTAACTGAGCAAAAATTTTGAACAGAAACTTCAAAAGAAGACCTAAATGAACAATAAATAAATGAAATATAAACACACCAAATAGAATCACTAAAATGAAACAGATAAGATAGACCAACTACTGATAAGAAAGGGGAGAAATGGAGCGCTCATACCTGCTGGTGAGAATAGAATACTGTACAAACACTTTGAAAAACTGATTGGCATGTTCTTAAAAAATTAAATCAAGGCCTACCGTGTGACCCAGCAAATCCTCTTCTAGGTATGTACCCAACAGAAATAAAAGTATATGTCCATACCAAGACGTATAAAAATGTTTATAGCAGCTCTATTTGTAATAGACAAAAGCTAGAAACAACTCAAGTGTCCATCTATGTGAATGAATAAAACCATTGTGGTATATCCACCCAATGGAATACTACACAGAAATAAAAAGGAACCAAAAAATTGAAACAAAAATAACATGAATGATTTTCAAAACCAGTATGGTGTATAAAGAAGGTAGGCAAAAACAGCACATACAGCACATACGCGGGCTAGCCGAGTGGCACGTTAGTTAAGAGTTGGCTTGGGGCGCCAGCTCTGAGCAACAGGGCCCCGGTTTGGATCCCACATGAGGGCCAGTGACGCTGCGCCTTCTACAGCTAAGATGGTGAATAACAGCTCGACCTGGAGCTGGGCTGTCGTGAGTCGCTGGCGACAGTGGCGTAGGCTGCAGTGGAGCTGCAGTGGGCTACTGTTAAGCTACCGTGAGCAGCTGGCAGCTGGCATGAGCTGCCAAGAGCCGCCGTGAGCGGCCCTCCAGTGGCCGGCAACCAATCTGCCTCACCCAGGAAAAGCGCAATGATGATACCAACATGGGTCAGTGAAGTGACGTCCTCCACAACTAGACTGAAGAACAAAAGGACAGCAACTTGTCTGTTCCCCTTACCCGATTGCCCAACGCTGTTTCCCTCCCCCAATTCCCCAATAAAAATAAAATAAAAATAAAAAGAGTATATATGGTATGTACACCATTCATGCAAAATTCTATAAAATGCAAGGCACAATAACAGAAAGCAGATCAGTGATTGCCTGGGAATAGATAGGACTGGTTCAAAGAACAGATTATAAAGGGTTCAGGGAAACTTTTGGAAATGATGAAAATGCTCATCGTCTTGATTGTAGTGTTAACTTTACAGGTATATGCATGTCAAAACTCATCAAATTGTATGCTTGAAATACATACAGTTTATTCTTTGTCAATTATGATTTTTCATTTAAAGGAAATGGTCTAAACACTCCAATTAAAAGTCAGAGACTCTCAGACTGGATTTCTTTTTTCTTAAAGCAAGGCTAAACTA